TCCCTCTAGCCTCAGGTTCAAAGTACAGCAAACAGAGATAAACACTCTAGCAAAAGGTACATTTACAAGTTGAGAAAACAAAGATGAAACTAACATGCCTTGCCTGGCTGTTTACTTACAAGTTTGAAATAGGAGAGACTTATTTAGAAAGATGTGGAGAACCTGGATTGATGTTTGGTCCCTCTCAGTCCCAAGAGCGAACGAACTCCCAAACAAAGAGCACAAACAAAAGCCTTCCCCACCCCCCCAAGATTTGAAAGTATCTTGTCCCCTTATTGGTCCTTTGGGTTAGGTGTCAGCCAGGTTACCTGAGCTTCTTAACCCCTTACAGGTAAAAGGATTTTGGAGCCTCTGGCCAGGAGGGATTTTATAATACTGTACATAGGAGAGCTGTTACCCTTCCCTTTATAGTTATGACACATGTATATAGTTAGGAGGCTGAAAATGTATCCTCATGGCTTAAAGCAAGCCCATGCAAAAAACAACAACACTTTATGGAGAACACTCTTCTCAGCAATATCCTATTTGTTAAACTTGCAGGAGGACTGATTGCAACTGCAACATTTTACAGTGGGATAGGAGCCTCCCTAAATCGTGGAAAGATTTGATAATCTAAGGGCAGACTCCTTCAATGAAGGGCAAGGTGATAGTGGGAGTTAGATCTTCCAAGTGTTTCCCTCTTGAGCATCATCTCACTCTTGCCCAGGTTCCTCTTCAGCCAATTGCGGTGCAGAAAGAAAACAAATGTTGAAACCTCAAAGATTACCACAAAATGGAATTGTTGTCCTCCAGTCACCACCAATTTTTTTAATTTTGTTTCCCTTTGGAATAAAATCAAAACCTTTTAAATGTTTTCATGAAATAAAACAGCAGTTTTCAGGTTGAAAAGGTCAAGTTTTCCATCAGTGTCTCTCTCTTTCTCTCTGGAAGTGACTGGACAATCCACCCTGGAGCTCAGAAACCTTTTTAACAAAAACTTCATCAAAACTGACATGTCTTTGCAAAACATTTTGGCTGTGATGAAACAGCATATTTTGACAACAAATTCCCCACATGGCAAGTTACTGTGAAAGGACATGATGTTCTCAGGCATCCCTAGTAATAACTGTTATGTCCATATGTAAAATAAAATAAAAAAACCCCGAACTCCTTCCACTGCTTTCCTCCTATTTGTATTGCTTTGGTTTTGCTTACAAGCCTTCCCAGCTGTCTTCCACTAGGCTCCCTGTGTCTTTACAAACACTGTACCGAAAACAGTCTCTCTTTCATCTTGTCCAAAATGGCATTGTCTTTTGTTGCTCTATCTCATGACAAATTGATTTGCAATTTGCTATTACTATCACCCTTCGGTTTGTTTTTGACATTACTGCTTTCTAAGTAACTCCCTCCCTTTGAATTAGGTTTCCTCAAAGGTTGTTAGCTTGTGTTTTTCAAGGTTGTATTTCACTTTATTTCCATCCCACTTTTTTAATCTCTCAGGGTCCCTTTATGTTGTGTTGTGTTGCTGCACCCTCTAGTGTCTGCAACAGCTGCAGATTTAACTAATTTGCATCTTATCCCCTCTTCTGGACTGCTGATAAAGAGGTTAAATAAAACCAGACCTAAGACTACTGCATACAACAGTCCAATAGACACTTCTCAACATGATACACTGTTGTTTCTTGTTATCCATTTCTTACCATTTTAATCATGTTATAACTCTTATATACAAATCAATTTGAATTTGTTTCCAGTAATCATTTTGTGGGACATGGTAGGAAATGTTTATTACAATTTATTATATCCATTGTATTCCTATTGCTGCAATACCATCTTAAATGCATGAGTGTGATTTTTTCCCCCCACCACGGCTGTATATTCCTGCAACATTAAATAACCTGTAGTGTTCTTACCAGAGAATATTCTCATAGGCCCTGGAATGTGTTTTTGGGGAAAGGAATAACTAAGGTCAGTGACTTTTAGTAGCTTCACACAGCTATCAAGTCTGCCAGCCACAAAAACAACCAGGGAAATCCCCTGCAAACAAAATAGTATCTATAAATTAGCCATCTTCTCACTCCTTCCATGAAGCCAGACTTCCTTACTTCATAGTAATAACTACATGTAAAATCTAATTATTAAATACTTATACGGCCAATGAAATAATGACTTCCATACTGGTTAGGCTATCTCCATGAAACATATATATACCAAAAATACTGTGGAAAATATTGATGGCTAATAAAGATTAATGATTCACAAATGCTACCTTTCTAATTAGTCTTTTTGAAACTATAAATTGTTGTGTTTGTTTAAGGAAAAGCTCCTAGCTATGGCCAAGATAGTCTTCCTATCACAGTCACTTTGCTTTGATTTTGAAGAAAACTAATATTGTATCTTTGAAAAATATTATATTGTTATTCATTTTAAATCTCATTTAGGAAAGAAAATGTAATCAAACATAAACATACAGTACAAAACTGATCACCCCAAATAAATGCCAACACTCCAAAGCTGTCTGCTTTTTGTGCTGGCCTTAACAACCTTGCTTTTTGTCTTGGTTGGAGGTGTCAGTCTCAAACCTACTTACTCGGCTTTTAAAGATACAAGGTTATAGCAATCTTATCATTTGTTCTTCCTATTAATTTTACTTTCATGTGCAGCTGATTAACTAATCTGTCAAATGATTACTACTGTGTGTACTGGTTGGAGCTGTCTGGTGACCGTTTAAGTCTTCGGTACTAACTTATGTACAGTGAGGTTGTGGTCATTCACATGAATGAGTAGTTTTACAAATTGTATTCTGATTATGCTTTTTTTTTCTTTTAGGGTAAAAGTTATCCCTTTAAGGGTGCATTTCCTACTATGTGGAACCCTTTTGTCATCTTAGATTTCAACAATCTATGGAGGACGATGGATGAAATGGGAAAGGAGGTGTGTAGAGGCTCAGTTATCCAATGCAGTTAGCCCTTGTGTGGGATTCAAAGGTGTGATGTTAGCACATGTTAAATGACACACACTAACATGTCTTAATAGTCTAGTGTAGGCAAGGCACACTGCCTTTAACATATGCTAAACTCCTTCCCCAGAGGCTTTAACTAACTTGACCAGCTAAGTATGTGTTAAAGGTGATGTACACTGGTTCTCACTATACTGTTGAGCTAGGAGTGTTTAAAAAGGAAAGTGCAGGTGCTTCAAAACATAAACAGGGGAGCTGTAGAATTACACACTTCGCTCCAGCACAGCATTTTACCTCACTAGGCAACATTTTAGTCTATTTTTTTTTAATCTTCTGCTCAATCCACTTTATTTCTGTTTAAAAATTGTGTAAATTTCCAGCAAGAACATTTAACAGAATTCTGTAGTGCAGATGAGCTTGTAACTATAGTCTTGCATTGTTATTTTGGAGGCACTAATTCAGTTTCAATCATAATACATTTTCTATTACTCGGCTTCTAAGACTGACTCTCGTCTCAGATATTTTTTCTACCCATAAGAGTTGCTCTCTTGCCTTTAAAAACCCCCTCGGTGTTTTTAGAATAAATAATACTAAAATAGCAAAAATATATACTGATCAGAGAAAATTATTCAAATATGTCTTTTCTTTAAACAGTTTGTTTTAAAAAAGAGTCTTAAATCACAGTCTGTATCTTCTAATTTTAATGTGAAATCAGTTGACTCAGTTAAAAATTAGTCTGTGTTAAGAGACAAGTTTATTATTGTAAAAGGGAGAAGGGCTGGTGTTTTTCAGAAAAGCAGAATTTTACTGCCTTGGCTTGACACTGACGCTTGAACGTCCATGGCTCATCCTCATTAATATGACCTTCAAAGTTCACTTCACTGGGAGGAAGAGCAGAGGGTTCTAAATGGTGATCAGGTTTGATAACGATAATAACTGAGCAAATACACAGTGCAGCCCATTATTTTCCATACGTTATTTTCACTCAAATAAATAAGTGTTCTCACTAAAAATGTATGTAAGAATTCTGCCTATAAAGTTAAAATAGAAATAGGCTTATCTGGAATAGAAAGCTCAGGTAAGTGCTGAGAAGAAACCTTTTGTCCCAATAAAAATGATTAGTATAAATCTGGGAAAGCATAATTTCTGGATCACTTTTCTAGTCCCGTCCTTTATACCATTAAACCAATTCCTGAAAAAAATCAGTGTGTTGATGGAAGAATGCTTCCGTTCAGGTTCAGGGAGGTGGTGTTCCTGCACAAACAGAAAAATCCTTTCTGTCCATGTATGCTGCGTCTACCCTATGGGGTTGTGCCAGCATAGATGCACAATGTAGCTGTGCCAGTCTAGTGTATGTAGTGAAGACCTATCCACAATGTGCAATTTTGTTACTGAATATTCGCTGTTCTTATGTTGTCATAGATTCCTAATGAAGCCCCATGGAAGGCACCACATGCAGAAGAATGGGACAAAATGTCTATGCAAGATTTCATAGACAAAGTTTGTTGGACAAAGTAAGAATCACTTTAATATTAAAGTGTATAAGAGGTTATAGTTGGATAGTGCTGCAGGCCAACTGTGCAGAGCAACAGCTAAGTACAGGAAGTGAGGAATACAATGTCCCATTGAAAGTGCCAGGGGTAATTGGAGTAGGCGGATTCTAATTATCCCCATTGAAATTTGACCACAGCTAACACTACTTTTGCAGAAATACGCTAAGAGGTTTAATGACCACAAATGAACAGGATATGGGTTTTACATTTTAATCTGAAAGACAAATACAGTGTTCACTAACATTATGATGGGGCATTGAATCAGTGCTAACTCAGAGAAAGAGAGAGAGAGAGAGACCTACCAAATCACCAATAACACTTCTTGCAGCACTTGATGTTTTTCTCTGGAGGCGTCCCATGAAAATACTGCCTTGGCTTGACACTGACGCTTGAACGTCCATGGCTCATCCTCATTAATATGACCTTCAAAGTTCACTTCACTGGGAAGAAGAGCAGAGGGTTCTAAATGGTGATCAGGTTTGATAACGATAATAACTGAGCAAATACACAGTGCAGCCCATTATTTTCCATACGTTATTTTAACTCAAATAAAGATCAGATGAAAACGTAATGTTTGCTAGCATTGAAACCATGGGTAACATCTCTGCTTGTTATATACTCTATTTAATTTGCTGATGACCTGCTTATAACTGGATTCAGCTGTCTCTGTATCAGGCCTCTTTGGACGAACTGAAAAATATCCGCTTGCCTCATGCACTAAACTTGGAAATTATGTTGTATGTATCTTGGGCATTCCAGAAATCAGAGACAGTTAAGTTCAGATATGTAGTTTTTAGATATCTATTGATAGCTAGCAGCACCCTTAAATCCTGGAATTTAATCTGGCAGCATAGCATCTAGGGATATTATAGTTTTAAGAACAAACAAACAGCACAAAACAGTTACAGACTTGAAGCTTCATAGTGGTATTGCTTCATGGTGGCAAATTTGTAGCTTTTCTGTTGTTCTTGTAAATAGTTTTTGTGCACAAAAATATTATTTGCTTTTGCTTTCAGCTATAAAATGGACACTTAATGTTCTTTCTAAGCTTCAAGCAGCCACTAGTGGTCACATGCTCACTGTGGGTATGTCTACACTACAGGATTAATCTGAATTTACAGAATTCGAATTTTGGAAACAGATTGTATAAAGTCGAATGTATGCGGCCACACTAAGCACATTAATTCGGCGGTGTGCGTCCATGTACCGGGGCTAGCGTCGATTTCCGGAGCGTTGCACTGTGGGTAGCTATCCCATAGCTATCCCATAGTTCCCGCAGTCTCCCCCGCCATTGGAATTCTGGGTTGAGATCCCAGTGCCTGATGGGGCAAAAAACATTGTCGCAGGTGGTTCTGGGTACAGCCTCACCCCCTCCCTCCATGAAAGAAACGGCAGACAACTGTTTCACACCTTTTTTCCTGGGTGAACATAGCAAACGCCATACCACGGCAAGCATGGAACCCACTCAGCTCAAGACAGCAGTCATGAACATTGTAAACACCTCGCGCGTTATTGTGCAGTTTATGCTGAACCAGGACCAGAAAAACGAGGCAAGGAGGAGGCGGCGATGGCAGCGCGGCGACGAGAGTGATGAGGACATGGACATGGACACAGAATTCTCTCAAACCGCGGGTCCCGGCGCTTTGGAGACCATGTTGTTGATGGGGAAGGTTTTATCCGTGGAACGCCGATTCTGGGCCTGGGAAACAAGCACAGACTGGTGGGACTGCATAGTGTTGCAGGTGTGGGACGATTCCCAGTGGCTGCGAAACTTTTGCATGCGTAAGGGCACTTTCATGGAACTTTGTGACTTGCTGTCCCCTGCCCTGAAGCGCCAGAATATCAGGATGAGAGCAGCCCTCACAGTTGAGAAGCGAGTGGCGATAGCCCCGTGGAAGCTTGCAATGCCAGACAGCTACCGGTCAGTCGGGAATCAATTTGGAGTGGGCAAATCTACTGTGGGGGCTGCTGTCATGCAAGTAGCCAAAGCAATCATTGAGCTGCTGCTACGAAAGGTAGTGACTGTGGGAAATGTGCAGGCCATAGTGGATGGCTTTGCTGCAATGGATTCCCTAACTGTGGTGGGGCGATAGATGGAACCCATATCCCTATCTTGGCACCGGAGCACCAGGGTACCCAGTACATAAACCGCAAGGGTTACTTTTCAATGGTGCTGCAAGCACTGGTGGATCACAAGGGACGTTTCACCAACATCAACGTGGGCTGGCCGGGAAGGGTTCATGACACTGTTTAAACAGCTGCAGCAAGGGACTTACTTCCCGGACCAGAAAATAACCGTTGGGGATGTTGAAATGCCTATAGTTATCCTTGGGGACACAGCCTATCCCTTAATGCCATGGCTCATGAAGCCATACACAGGCAGCCTGGACAGGAGTCAGGAGCTGTTCAACTACAGGCTGAGCAAGTGCAGAATGGTGGTGGAATGTGCATTTGGCTGTTTAAAAGGTCGCTGGCACACTTTACTGACTCGCTCAGACCTCAGCCAAACCAATATCCCCATTGTTATTGCTGCTTGCTGTGTGCTCCACAATCTCTGTGAGAGTAAGGGGGAGAAGTTTATGGCGGGGTGGGAGGCTGAGGCAAATCGCCTGGCTGCTGATTACACGCGGCCAGACACTAGGGCGGTTAGAAGAGCACACCAGGAAGCGAGGCGCATCAGAGAAGCTTTGAAAACCAGTTTCGTGACTGGCCAAGCTACCATGTGAAAGTTCTCTTTGTTTCTCCTTGATGAAAATCCGCTCCCTTTATTGACTCATTCTCTGTAGGTAACCCACCCTCCCCCTTCGATCACAGCTTCCTTTCAAAGGAAATAAAGTCACTATTGTTTAAAAATCATGTATTCTTTATTAATTGATTATAAAAAGAGGGAGAGAACTGACAAGGTAGCCCGGGTGGGGTTTGGGAGGAGGATCAGAGGGAAGGAAAGGGCCACTAAAAAAGGTTAAAATAATGACAGCCTTTTGCTTGGGCTGTCCACTGGGGTGGAATGGGAGGGTGCACGGAGCCTCCCCCCGCGTTCTTACACGTCTGGGTGAGGAGGCTATGGAACATGGTGAGGGGGGTTATACAGGGGCTATAGTGCCAGTCTGTGATCCTGCTGCCATTCCTGAAGCTCCACCAGACGCCGGAGCATGTCTGTTTGCTCACGCAGCAGCCCCAGCATTGCATTCTGCCTCCTTTGATCTTCCTGCCGCCACCTCTCATCTCGAGCGTCTCTCCTCTCCTCATGTTGGTCCCTTCTGTCCTCACATTGGTCCCTCCTGTCCTCACGTTCACTGGCATCTTTCCTATACTTTGAAACCGTGTCCTTCCACTCATTCAGATAAGCTCTTTCATTGCGAACATCTCGTCTCGCGTCCTCTTTTTCCAGCACCTTATCTGAGATAGCCTTCGGGATGGAGGAGGGAGGCTTGAAAAATTTGCAGCTGCTGGAGGGAGGGAAAAAAGGAGAGAATTTTTTAAAAAGATACATTTTACAGAACAATGCTTATACTCTTTCACGGTGAACAACACTATTAACATTACATAGCACATGTGATTTCTGTGCAAGGTCGCATTTTGCCGCTTAATATTGAGTGCCTGTGGCTTTGCTGCTAGAGATCACAGACGCAGGTCCAGGCAATAGAATTTGGCTTGTATGCGGCCATGGTAAGCCATGTCCTCCTTTCCCACATACCAAGCAAAGCCTGTTGAGTGCTGTGGTTTTCCTGTTAACCGTCAGAAGCAGAAAACAAACTAACCCCCCCTCCATCCAATTCTCTGGGATGATCACTTTATCCCTCGCCCCACTGCGTGGCTGGTATCAGGGAAGATCCCTGCTAGCCACACGTGAAAAGCTTAGTGTCAATCCACCCCCCCTCTCCACGCTTGGCTTACTACAGGGAAGGATTTCTTTTCAGCCATAGGCAAACAGCCCAGTAGGAAGGGCCATCTCTGTCCCCTTAATTAAATTCCCGTATTTCAACCAGGTTACCATGAGTGATATCACTCTCCTGAGGATTACACAGCGAGATAAAGAACGGATGTTGCTTGAATGCCAGCAAACACCGGGACCATACGCTGCCAGGCTTCGTCATGCAATGATACCAGATTACTTGCTACTAGCATGGCGTAGTCAAGTGTCCTATCATGGAGAACGGAATAAGGCTGCACTGCCCAGAAACCTTCTGCAAAAGCTTTTGGAGTACCTCCAGGAGAGCTTCATGGAGATGTCCCTGGAGGATTTCCGCTCCATCCCCAGACACGTTAACAGACTTTTCCAGTAGCTGTACTGGCCGCAAATGCATCCCAAGTCCTCAGGGCAAATTAATCATTAAAAAACGCTTGCTTTTAAACCATGTTTTATATTTTAAAAGGTAAACTCACCTGAGGTCCCTTCCATGGGGTCATGGTCTTGGGTACTGGCTTGGGAGGCTTGGAAGGGTACTTCAGTCAGGCTGAGAAAAAGATCCTGGCTGCTGCGGAGAACGGAATGCTGTGTGCTCTCCGCAAGCTCGTCGTCCTCCTCCTCCTCCTCCTCTTCCCCGTCCGCAGAATCCTCAAGTGTGGCTGATGAGATTACCCCCGCCTTGGAATCCACGGTCAGAGATGGGATAGAGGTGGCGGCCCCCCCTAGAATTGCATGCAGCTCAGCGTAGAAGCGGCATGTCGGCGGCTTTGAGCCGGAGCAACCGTTTGCCTCCTTTGTTTTCTGATAGGCTTGTCTGAGCTCCCTTGACTTTCACGCGGCACTGCTCTGAGTCCCTATTGTGGCCTCTCTCCATCATGCCCTTGGAGATTTTTTCAAAAGTTTTGGCATTTCGTCTTTTCAAACTAAGTTCTGCTAGCACTGAATCCTCTCCATATATAGCGATCAGATCCAGTACCTTCCGTACAGTCCATGCTGGTGCTCTTTTTTGATTATCGGCCTGCATGGTTACCTGTGCTCATGAGCTCTCTGTGGTCACCTGTGCTCTCCTGTGCTGGGCAAACAGGAAATGAAATTCAAATATTCGCAGGGCTTTTCCTGTCTACCTGGCCAGTGCATCCGAGTTCAGATTGCTGTCCAGAGCGGTCACAATGGTGCACTGTGGGATAGCTCCCGGAGGCCAATACCATCGAATTGCGGCCACACTAACCCTAATTCGAAATGACAATATCGATTTTGGCGCTGCTCCGCTCGTTGGGGAGGAGTACAGAAATCGATTTTAAGAGCCCTTTATTTCGAAATAAATGGCTTCATTGTGTGGACGGGTGCAGGGTTAATTCGATTTAATGCTGCTAAATTTGAATTAAACTCATAGTGTCGACCAGAAGTGTGAATGGGTGGAACTCCTACCCTAGCCTTCCACACAATACAGTTGCAACAGGCTCTTGTCCAAAACTTTCCTATGGTTTTTGCCTTTATTTGTGCCTTTGGAAATGTAACATAAATAACAAAATCCTAAGGCGTCTAACTGTATTGCAATCAGTTATCCATAGACCTTGCCGAAAGAAGTCCCGAAGGGGAAGATCCCTGGGAATAAACCATTTTAGACAAATTCTATGGAGAATAAGTTCGAGCAACAATAGTAAATGCTACTGACTTAAGTGTGTATGTACTGTCTGTAAGAAAAGCATTCAGGTATCCACTATGGCATAAAGGCCTTCAGAGAGTTTCTCATTGGTATCATCATCCATGACCACTGAAACAGAATAAGAGTGAATGAAAAGTTACTTGAATTGGACAATGTGCATTTTCAAAATGTTTGGTAGGTAACTTCAGCATAGTGTTTGTTAATGCATGGTGTAGCTCAGCCATCTTTGATATACATAGTTATAGGTGATCCAGCCTCTTAAATTGGAAATGAGACCCTGTACAATCTTGCACAATATCGTACAGCACCAGGCAAGGAGAGTCACATCTTTCTAATCTGTGATGGAATTTGACTTGACATTTTACCTGAATTTTGACATAATTGTCAGCCTGTCTTAATTCCAAGATGCTTTTCAGATTTCATATGTGCATCTAAACTTGATCTGCCATGTGCAATCAAAAGTTAGGTTACATGCCATAGCAGTTTTCCTATCCCTAGAATGCAATGGTCCAGAAGGGTAATCCTCCATTCTTTTCTTTTGTCTGACAGATTGTGCAGATTTGCTTTAGTTTGCCATTTCATGCTGAAATAGCATTGTGTGCTAATGATTGAAACCAAACAGCCATTTCCATGTGAAATAATAGATGAAATTGTGGTGCTGAAATACCAAAACTAATGGCAAAGTGGCAAAATATTATGGAAAAATTAGATCATTGCCTAAAAGTATATTTCTAAAATATTAATATACATGTATTTATTCCTCCACTAAATATAATAAAACCTCTTTCAGAGCTGATCATATTTACAATACATGTAAATAAGAACTGAATAAATGCCTGTTTCATCTGAACCTTTTTATGGCTCTAAAGGAAGAGAGGTAGAATCTTTATAGGCACAGATTGCATGCAATTTCTCAGTGGCTAACAGAGGAAATAGCATGAAGCCACTAAACATGCACATGTGGTAGTATCACATTAGCAGGGGTGATCAATCACTACTTCAAAGAGCTTCAGAGCCCAACACTCCCACTTTACACCTAATCTTCTCAAAGGTATATAGTAACTGATTATAACAAAGGATTATAACAACACTGGCACAAGGAATCTTTCTACTAAACTGAAATGCCGGGTTTCATCTTTGTTAAATTGCTGCCTCCAGAAATGGCTCTCTTCTCAATGACATGGATATATCATGGACAAGTATCTAATCAGTAGCTTAAAATATCACATAGCACTAAAAAAATCCCCTACTAGTCCCTACAGGATGACTTCTTTTATTGCTTACTTTATTGGCGAGCGCTGGGCACCCAGTTAAGATGCTGATAAATGGTTGAAATATGGTGGTCAAAACATGCAAATGATCCTGCATCTCAAATTGTCGTGTTGCTATTGCAGCGGTTGCCCATATACAAATATTCCCGGGCTGTCAAGGACAGTCATAAAAGCAGATCAAAGGTCAAGCCTCCCTGGAGGGCAACTCCATTCTTAGCCTTTTGCTTCAGTGGAAATGTCTGTTCATTAAGCAGATGAAGATGCTGTTTCTGTGAAGAATTTAATTTAAACGTGCTTAAATGCTTTTATTGTTTTAAAAGCCTTTTTGCTTTAAAAAATGTTTGACTAAACAAAATAGAAAATAGTTTAAAACCAGGAGTTTTTACTGGCTTTGGAGGTTATTTTCTGGGTGGCAGTTGACAAAAGCAGTAACCGCAGAGACCCATGTGGTGTTACGCAGCTAAAATGAGCATCTTCTGCTTGGAAGACAGGGGACTTCCTTCACATGGCTTTAATACACCTATACAAATGTGCAGTGTGAGGACAGAGGGAGTAACTGAAGTTCAGTGAAAGAATGTTTACTTCTGCCTGTATTCACACATCTTTTAATCCAACCTGAAACCTTGTACAGATCTTTCATCTCTAATAATTCTCAGTAGATTTGTCATCTCTTAAATCAAAGCACAAACAGTAAGAGAGAAAACAATGATCAAACTTCAGACCCAGTCCACTTTTAGTTGTGACACTTTTCTACATGTATGCTCATCGGCAGAGGCCATTGCACATGCCCAGGGTCCGATGCACAACATAGTTACATGGCTGTGCAAATGACATCACGATTTCTCCTTTATTGTCAATCTGCCTCATAAATCTGCTCAAGGCCTTTTCGCCATTCTGCTTTTTTCCCAACTCCCCCCAGGCTGTTTCTTTGTTCTGTGTGTCCCCATAAAGGGGAATTCTGACTGATTTCCTGCATGCTGCTTCTCTGAAAAGGACAGAGTAGGAGGCAGCTGGGTGGCAATCCATCCAAAATGTGGACAGAACAAGGATGAGAATGATCACCACCCACCTGGACCTTCTCTCACAGTCTCTCCTGAGCTTTACTGTCCTCATAAACTCCTCTATTCCTGAAGGGTTCCGGAGCTTATACAGCAGAGGAGACTGTGGCTGGCTGAAGGAGTGGGGAGACAGGTACAGTCAGCAACAGAAAGGACTGCAGGTCTCATGGGTGACACGGGGGGTGGGGGGGGGATTGGAGGAGTAGGTAGCTGATATACAGAGCTTTAAAGCCCATTAGAGCTGTCTGGCCTTGCTCCATTGTTCCCAGAATCTTGAATGACTGACAATTGTCTCCAGAGGTTAACAGAAGAAAAT